CACAAGAGCAATGACACTACCCTATGTTAGTGTGCTCTCAAAGGCTAACTAAAGAGCTACACCAACCAAGCATGCAAGCTCTCACAACTAGCTACACTAAAGAGCTTGTCAACTAGTTTGCGGTAAAGTAAAGAGAGTGATCAAGAGGGTTATACCGCCATGTAGATGAATGAACCAATCAATCACGAAGATGAATAACAATGATGACCAATCACCTCGGAATCAAATGATGAACACAATGATTTTTACCGAGGTTCACTTACTTACCGGCAAGCTAGTCCTCGTTGTGGCGATTCACTCACTTGGAGGTTCACGCGCTAATTGGCATCACTCGCCAAACCCTCAATAGGGTGCCGCACAACCAACACAAGATGAGGATCACACAAGCCACAAGCAATTTACTAGAGTACCTTTTGGCGCTCCGCCGGGGAAAGGTCAAGAACCCCTCACAATCACCACGATCGGAGTCGGAGACAATCACCTCCTCCACTCAACGATCCTTGCTGCTCCAAGCCGTCTAGGTGGCGGCAACCACCAAGAGTAACAAGAGAAATCCATGAAAACACAATCATCAAGTGCCTTTAGATGCAATCACTCAAGCAATGCACTTGGATCACTCCCAATCTCACTATGATGATGAATCAATGATGTAGATGAGTGGGAGTCCTTTGGCTAGGCTCACAAGCTTGCTATGTCAATGAAAATGTGCAAGAGTTATCCCTTGAGCCGGCCATGGGGCTATAAATAGAGCCCCATCAAATAGAGCCGTTATACCCCTCATTTGGGCAAAATGCGTTACGACCGGACGCTCGGTCGAGGACCGACGGACTCAGCTGGCTCTCGGCGTCCGGTCGCTCGATGTCGCCCACGTGTCCAGACTCAACGGTCATCACCTCGACCGACGCCGCTCCTTTGAATCGACCGGACGCTGAAGCCCCAGCGTCCGGTCGTTTCCAAAGAAGCTCCCGAGGCATGATTTTTCGACCGGACGCGTCCGTCCACCTTGACGGACGCAGAGCAGTCGTCCGGTGCTCAACCCCTAGCCATCAGATCGCTGAAGTCAGCGGCGACGACCAACGCAGTGCATGAGCGGCGTCCGGTGCTTGATTCGGCGTTCGGTCACAGGACCGACGCCAAACATCATTTCGATCAACTCCATTTCAACTCTTACTTCTTCACCATTGCTCAAGTGTGCCAACCACCAAGAATTTTGCATCCGCAAATAGAAAATAGACATTTTATTTTCCGAAAGCGTTGAATCCGCCTCACTCGGCGGGAAGAGAGGGACACCTTCTCAACCCCGCAAACATGTGTGTAGCATATTTTCACAAATATTTTCAAGGGTGTTAGCACTCCACTAGATCCTAAATGCATATGCAATGAGTTAGAGCATCTAGTGGCACTTTGATAACCGTATTCCGATCTGAGTTTCACCCTCTTAATAGTACGGCTATCAAACCTAAATGTGATCACACTCTCTAAGTGTCTTGATCACCAAAACAAAATAGCTCCTACAAGTTATACCTTTGCCTTGAGCTTTTTGTTTTTCTCTTTCTTCTTTCCAAGTCGAAGCACTTGATCATCACCATGCCATCATCTTTATCATGCTATGATCTTCATTTGCTTCACCACTTGGAGTGTGCTACCTATCTCATGATCACTTGATAAACTAGGTTAGCACTTAGGGTTTCATCAATTCACCAAAACCAAACTAGAGCTTTCAAGTAGGCCAAGTTATATTAATCCTGACTTTCGATATCCTTCTCTTTCAGAAAATGTGTGCTTTAAAAAAAATGCCAGAATACCGTAAAAAATACACTAAGAAAGAAATGACTGCTGTGATTGGTGTATGTGAGGATATGGAATACAGCTTAGACAATGCAGATACGTAAGTCGCTTGCTCCTGCTTTTATTACTTGTTTTCTATATACTATTCTAAACGCTACCATGTTTGTAGTTTTTTTTGTCATGGCTGCACGGTCGAAAGTATATGCTTTATGTTTTCGATTAGAAGGAGAAGATGCTTATCATGATTGATCCTAGACCTATTGAAGACTGGTGTAAAGACACACCAGTGCTAATGTATGCCAGGTACACTCTTGAATTTACCTTGCAGTATACGGACGCAGTGAATGTACATATTCCTGGATGGAATAAGGATGTCTTCAAATAAAAATTCAGACGAGAAGAAAACATTGCAGAGGACATAGATGGGTAACTAATGCAGAGTCACTATGGCTTGCAATAATAATACATACGATTTAACTATTTCTATATATCGCTGATCGTGAATCTTGCCACAGACACTTAAGTGGATATCTTATTCTACAATATATATCTACGTGGAATAGATCAAAAGCCACGTACATTTATACGGTGAGTATAACACTTTGTTTTAAGTTTTTGTGGAAGATTTTTAAGAGACGCATGCGACAGGCACTAATATTAACATATATATTTGAGCCTGTGTACAGGATGGTACGGAGATGTGGCGGAACTTATTCGTGGATTTATTGGCGCACGAAAGAAATGGATATCAGAGATTTCTTTCTACCGATATAAAACATTATCTTAGGCGCATCATGGAAAGGTCTATAAAGTAGGGTTTGTAAGCCTGTGACGTCGCTCTTTTCGTGACTGTTAATTTGACAAACTTTGCTTTTTGGATTAACTGTAACTTTAACGTTGATATTTAATTTTTACAGTATTATTATCTTATCGTATGATCCGTGTGTTTTTAGTATAAATTGTTAGCTATTTCGTAGCAACTTACGGCCTAGTCCTTGTAAAAAAGTGGATTATCAAAACTTGGTGGTGAGAAGGTTTTGCGGCAGCTGAATGCATACTCTATGTCGTGCAGTGTAAGCTGATGGGATGACACAGGTAGGCAGGGCCCAATCATACACTTTTTCTATCCCTGGGTCTCTTGGCCCCCAGTTGTTAATCGTGGAGTTCATTGTGGCCACGCTTCTATGCTTCTTTTTCTCCCGTTTTATCAGGGACCGGGCCGCGGCGCCGTAGTTTATTTACTCCATAACCAACTACACTATGCATTCAAAGCGGCGTACATATAATAAATAAACATCTTTACACACACACACATTATATGCAAGTCAATGAATAAGCTAAGATCTGGATTGCATGCACCCCTTCCCTCTCACACACATGCATGACACATCGCTACCAACCAGCCAATCAGGAGACGATACCCGTCCCCGTTCTAGACGGGGCAAGAGCCCGTTATAAAAAAGGGCTGGCGTGCCCCAGTCTTCCTCTAGGGTTTCTTTTTTATTATTTTGAGATGGACCGGTGTTCAAAGTGTTTGTAAATACTACTGGTTCTATATAGTACTCCTACTGTACTATTATACTAGTATAAATCTCAAGGTTAGGGCAGAGATGAAGAAGAGCAGGCCTAACCACTCCGGATAATCAAATGCGGACTTGTCTAACTCAGCAGCGGTTTGTGCATGCTTGGGCCTGGGGGGGTAGAAAGTCAGAGCTCTGCTTGCTAGCTAAACGGAGAGTCTTATTCAGTGATGAGCTGCAAAGTCATCTTGTGCCTGTTAGCCTGTCCCCTCTGATTTAGCGTTTCTGACTTTGCTGGCCTCCGGAGTTATGGTTTCATGTGCACCGATCCGGTTTTGCGAATTGATTAATCCCGTGGCCGTCATTTTCGCCGGACAGAATAATAGTAGTATGGATGTGCGTTCGCGTTCGTTCCTCTCGGAATTTCCTATCGGTCATCGTCCTTCTTTACCGCTCCTCCTACGTCTCTGCAATTTTTTTTTACCGTGGAGGCGCCGGCCAAATCAACCGCTAGACTAGAGAGCAGCCAAAGCAAGGGAGAGATGCCGTGCGTGCCAATGCCATACTTATCGCGTCGGCAGCGGCCAATGGGTGGCCTCCAACTGCAGGATTACGCGCGCGCGTAATACTCAAACTGGCAGCAGCGGGCATGAGAGATGATGGTCCGGCGATCCAATCACCGGCGGGCCGGGGTTAGTTTTAACTAAGACCCAGTGGGGGCGGGAAACATCACGGCTGAGCTCACCTCCATGCTCCGGGGTCCTAAAAAAAAACTCGGCGGAAAGCACGCAAAGGCAAAGGGGGGAGATGAGATTCCTTCTCGCCCCAACTTGGCCTGCAGCATGTGCAGGTCTTTAAAAAAAAAACCAGGCATGCGATTGCGATCCTCCATCGGGACGCGGTAGGTTTCTCTTTCGGGGGACTCTGACCATTGGGAGGCGCGCGCGAGCAGGCAGCAAGGCACCCTCCCAGTCGCCCTCCGCCAGGGAAAAGCATCAATCAGGTCAAGCCCAACTGGTAGGGTACAGTACCTAGCCCTACCTCTTTTTCTTTTCTTTTTTTATTTATTATTATCCTTGATACCATTCCGAAACAAGATTTTGAACCGGTCTCGCCGAAGAGAGTACAGTATATTTTAGATAAAAATAGTCGATCAGCTTGGGATTAGTTTTTAGCCCAAGTTGTGACTGTGATATCAATGACAGTGCTTAAGCAATAAACAAATACGCGTGACACATCATTCGAGGCCACTTGTACGCACCTCCGGCTCCGGCAGTGTTGAGCTGGGGGGCCCCTCAGAAGAAGGCGCGCAGAAATTTCTCAGGTCGCCCCCCTCCTCCGGGCCGTCGGTGAGCGGGGGCACGTGACAGCGATACGCCCGGAGGCCAAGATAATCTTTGCCGCGAGGTCTCCATTATTATGGAGTTATCTCCCGTCCCGTCCCTTCTCTCTCTCTCTTTGTGATGTGTTGTGATTCGTAAGCTAGCTAAAAAGGGCTGCTCCTCCTCTGCTTGCCCTGGTGTGCTGTGGTGTCTGGTCAAGTACGCTTCCGAATTAAAAGCGCTTCTGGCCTGCAACCCCTGCTGTCTGCTCCCACGGCTGGCCGGCTGCCCGCGTCTTCTTCCTCACCCCTCTCCTCCGGTCGGTCCCGTCCCTGCATTTCTTGATTCCTTCCTCCACCGGAACCAAGCAATGTCTCCGGCGCCGAGTTCGCGTCACTCGCAGATCAATTCGAGGTAACTAGCTGCGGCTTGGTTTTGCCTGTGATCTTCGCACCAGCGCGGTTCAATTTGGAGGGCGCCGCCTGATTTCATTTTCTCTGTTTTGGGGGGAAAAAATCTTGGCAGGAAGGAGAAGCGGATGAGGAAGGTGGACACCTTCGCGCCGCACAACGATGGCCACCAATGGAGGAAGTACGGCGAGAAGAAGATCAACAACACCAACTTCCCCAGGTCCGGTCCGCCCGGATTTTACTTGTTCTGTTTCTTTCCTCGTTTGTTTTACTTTATTTACCGTGGGGGGAAAGGGATTCTGCACTGCATCTGCCTGCGCGTGTTCTGAGAAATCTATCTTCGCCAGCAAATAATCCGCCTTTATAGTATTATTAGCCAACCTCATTTGACTTTGCCGTTTGTTTCATCCCTTTCTCCGCATCCAAATCGGCGGGCCAAATTTCAGCAAATGTTCATTCCACTCGCTCACACACAGGTTCTTCTTGTCTCCGCTGCAGGTATTACTACAGATGCACGTACAAGGACAACATGAACTGCCCGGCCACGAAGCAGGTGCAGCAGAAGGACCACAGCGACCCGCCATTGTACGCGGTCACCTACTACAACGAGCACTCGTGCAACAGCGCCTTCCTGCCGCTCTCCCCCTCCGAGTTCCAGTTGCAGACCTCGTCCGGGAAGGCCGTCTCCATCTGCTTCGACTCCTCGTCCGGGGCGGCGCCGCAAGAACCGCCGGGCGCGGCGGCCGCGGCCACCAATGCCAGCGGCGGCGGCTCGCCCTCTTCCAGCGCGGCGGCGGCGCGGCGAGGCACGCCGCCGGAGATCAGTAACCCGCCCGTGCTGGCGCTGCGGCGGTCCGAGACGTACCCGTGGGGCACCGGCGCCGGCGCCGTGGAGCAGAAGCCGGCGTCCTGCAGCACCGAGTGCCACGACGCCTTCTCGGGTGCCGCCGGCGCCGTGCCGGAAGAGGTGGTTGATGCAGGCAGATTTGGGTCTATCAGGTTCTTCCATTTTTTGTAAATTGATCAGTGGAAGCTACTTCGACAAACTAATATGATACATATGTCTTCTTCTTTTATTTTCTTCTTCTTTTGTTCCTTTGTTACATGCCGAAGCTTACTAGAGATTCGCGTGTTACTTTTGTTTTCTTGGTTCGAAATCGAAATACCACTGCTAATTTCAATCCAACAGTTCATTTATGCAAGCTGTGACTGTTGATTAACGTATATTCTAATATTCAGGATATTATTTATATATATAGAAATAGAGCGAAAATAAATTAATGTTCCTATGAAACTCCCGGGTTATGCAAGGCAATCAGAGGGCGATTAAAATCTGAACACAAGGTGAAACTTTGAAGCAAAATTAGACAAAGACGAAGTAGGCCCCCATTTTTTTTTTGGCAAAGAGGATGATGCAGAGTGTCTGTATGTAAAAAAGGACAAGCAAGAGCAGTCCAGCACAATTGTCTCTTCCTCCATACAACAATACTTTTTGTGCTCCACCGGCGGTTCTTATGAATATATAAATAGCATGGACACAGCTCCACCGAGACTTCAAACAAAATAATTTAAATATTTAAATTTAGTCTGAACTTAAGACAAAATGTTTTGTTTAAATTTACACGGTACCTATAACTTCAAAATGTTTTGTTTATACCTCTAACTACGTACTCGTGTCTAATGCGTAATACCTCTAACTACACATCTAATAATACATATATTTCTAGAGTTGATGAAGCACCACCAAAAAGAACGTAAAGTCAAACATTTTTTTATTTTAACCAGCACCATCTAAAATTTTATACAAGTTATTGGTTGACCATACATATGAACACATTCTTGTAATATATACTTTGACATAGGCAAGGTCAGGCCCATTGGAACAAAAGAAAAATGATGGAATTCTAGGCAATTCGAATTTTATTGGAAAATTTTCTAAGAATCCCTTTGAAACAATAGATTGGGTTCTAAAATTCTATGAAATTCTTATGGAATGTCTTGTTTTATAAGGATTTTGGAGGAATCCTACCAATATGTTAAACCTCATGGAAAGTTTCTTTTGTGTTATCATCTCTTATTGAATTCCTATATTTTTTCGTACTCTCCATCCAAATGTTCGATCTTGTAGTGTACATTCTATTCTACATTTTTTTTCTATTCATGAGTTCAAATAGCCCCTAGATATTTCCTCAAAAAAAAGCCCCTAGATAGACCTCTATTTGTGATAGGAGGAAGTAGTTAGATAGGAAAATATAGCAAATATACATATGAGTTGAACTCGGGTTCATTTTTCAAGGCATTCTAAAACCACTCCAATATGTTTGGTTGGGGTAATTCAAAGGGGAAATGGAAGTTTTGGTGGGAAGAGAAATGAAAGTCTAGAGAGCCAACTCTCAGTAATCACTTTCAAGAGGAGGGGTAAGAATTGAGTGGAAATTATGATCTTAATGAAAGATGAATGAATTATTACCGTCCATCATAACTTGTCCTGTAATTTTTCATTTTGAAAACACACACTCTAAATTCACAGAAAAACACATAAATAGAAAAAAAATCCTACATTCCAAACAGTCCTGAGCAGCAAATCGTAGATCATCGTCGTGAGCTAATTTTTTGCAAGGGCCTCGTTGCCGCCACCTTTAAATGTCTACTACTTCAAGAAAAAAAAACTGAGAACTGAAGAGAATCACAGCATCAACAGTTGCTTGCTGCATTCAATGTCCACTGACGATTCAGCGCTTTGCAACCAATCAAATTCGAAAAACAATGTACCAATGCAAGTGTTACTGTTGTCCTTACACTGAGGGGTTGTTTAAATTTAGAGCGTTAAGTTTTTGCGTGTCACGTGAGATGTCATATGAGGGTGTTGCATTGTTGTTTGGATACTAATAATAATAAAAAAACAAATTACAGAATCCGTCAGTAATCCACGAGACGAATTTATTAAACCTAATTAATCCGTCGTTATCACATGTGTTACTGTAGTACCACAATGTTGAATCATTAACTAATTAGACTTAAAAGATTCGTTTCGCAACTTAGTCATAAAGTATGCAATTAGTTATTTTTTTAGTCTATATTTAATACTACATGTATGTGTTCAAATATTTAACAAGATATGGAAGTAAACTTTAGAAGAAGAAACAAAACAAGGGCTAAGTAGCAAGTACAGACAGAATTGTGCCCTGTCAAGCTGTGCTCCAAAAATTGATCACAGGATGTATCAGATTGAAAAAAGACATTCCAAAATTTGATCACAGGACGTTCTAAAGAACGCAAACTGAACCACGCGTCAGGATTGCGTAGTTGCAGCTCCAATAAGGTCTCCACGCTCACAATCATCCTTGAATTCCACATCGGTAAAACCCAAAGTTGTCGCCAAGCACCGCACGAGCTGGTCGTGGATGACCCCGTCGGCCGGGAGCTCCACTCCGTCCCCCACCTCCCGCCGCAGCGACGTCACCCCCTTGCCGGCGATGCCGCATGGCACGATGTGCTCGAAGTACCCCAGGTCGGGGTCGATGTTGAATGCCAGGCCGTGCCACGTGAACCCGGATGAGATCCTGACCCCGATGGCGCCGATCTTGCGGTCCCCAACCCACACCCCGGTCTCGCCGGGGTCCCCGGGCCTCGCGGAGACGCCGTGGAGCGCCGCCACCTGGATCATCGCGGACTCGAGCCCCTCGACGTACCTCCGCGCGCCGAGCCCCAGGGAGCGGAGCGAGAGGACAGGGTACAGCACGGCCTGCCGCGGCCCGTGGAACGTGACGTCGCCGCCCCGCTCCGTGCGGTGGAGCTCAGCGCCCAGCGCGCGCAGCTCGGCCTCCGGCGCGAGCAGGTTCCGCTCCGCCTTCTCGCGCCGCTTGCCCAGGGTGTAGGTCGGCGGGTGCTGCAGCGACAGAACGAGGTCGCCGACGCGGCCGGCCTTGCGGTCCGCGACGAGACGCTCCTGGAGCTGGAGCGCTTCGCCGTACTTCACCACGCCGAGCCTCCACGCCTCCAGGACCCTCCGCGCGCCACCGCTCATCTCCCTCGCGGTCGGTAGGGGAAGAGAGACGGTCTGGGATAGATGCTCGACGCCTCGACGCCGTGGTCAGCGACGAGCAGAGACAGAGAGGACGGAGGCGAAGGGGATGGGCACGGCCCACGGGCTTATGAGACGCCGAAAAGTGACCCAACCCACCCAAGCTAGAAAAGGGCCCAGAGGGTATAGTCCAGCGCCGCCGCGGAGACGCTCTCCAGCAACGCCCGAGCGACGGCCGCCGCCGCTCGACGCCCCTAATTCGACGCGCCGCGGCCGTGCGTGCCCCCGAGTTGCCGAGCGCCGTCCAGCTCGTCTGCTCCAGCACCCTGCGCGGCTGCGCCCTGACGCCAGCCGACCCGTGCGGTCACTTCCTTGTGCTTGCTTGGCGTAGAAATTCGGTTCCTCGCTCCCTGGTCCGGAGGATGGCGGCGGCTTTTATGGAGCTAGCACTCGAGCAGGTACGGCTGCTAATCCTGCTCGCTTTGCAACTGGAGCGTGTATGATTTTACCTTCGGCTGATTGTTTTGTGTAGGCAAAGTTTGCGCTGGATAACCTCGAGGTCCTTGTTGGGTATGCTCTCGCTTATTCGCGATAGTCGTTTACTTATTCTTTTTTTTTGCTAATTGCCTGGTTATATCCTTGCTAATTCCCTCGCTCATGTTAGGTGTGTGATTGTGGAGGACGGGAAAGTGATTTCCTCTGGATGCAACAAGACGAATGCCACCCGAAATGTGAGCTATGTTTTCTTTTCTTTTTTTACTGGAGCCTGTAGATGTCGGCTTTAAGATGTTTCTTTCGTGTGTTGGTTTGGCCAATTCATGTCGTTATGTTGTGACTTTCCATGTTGCAAGGCTACAGGACATGCTGAGATGGAAGCTATTGATGTCCTGCTTCGGGAGTGGCAAAGCATGGGTCTTGATCAGCCACAGGTCGCGGAGAAATTTGCAGGATGCGACCTTTATGCCACGTGTGAGCCCTGTATAATGTGTGCAACAGCATTATCGATAATTGGTCTGAATTTTTTATTGTCTATGCTACCCTGTTAAACTGTTTATTTTTATAGGAATTTCTGATTTTGACATGTTGTGCTTGACTAGGGACTTGTTTAGTTGATCTTTTTTGAAATAGTACTGTAACACTTTTGTTGTTATTTGGTAATTAGTGTCCAATTATAGTCTAATTAGGCTTAAAAGATTCGTCTCGTGAATTTCGTCTAAACTATGTAATTAGTTTTATTTTTTATTTATATTTAATGTTTCATACATACGTCCAAAGATTCGATGTGATGGAGAATCTTGAAAAATTTTGCAAAATTTTGGGAACTAAACAGTCACTCGGAATAAGAGAAGTATACTTTGGTTGTGCCAATGACAAATTTGGAGGATGTGGATCAATCATGTCATTGCACAAGGGTGCTACTTTGTCAGATGATTTATCAGGGTAAGTGGAATGCAATACGAAACATCTTGTCAAAATGATTGCTTATTCGTATTAGGCAGATTCCAAAAATTTTACGTAGTAAGTGGAATGCAAAAGTACTAAATGTAGACGAAAAAAAACTAATTGCACAGTTGTCAAAAATCGCGATTGCTTTTGAACCTTCGTAATTAGACACTAATTACCAAATACAAACGAAATGCTACAGTGAGCAAAAATCCAAAAAATTTTAGATCTAAACGGGGCCTTAGTATGTTGCATGCGCTGTCATGATTTCTGCAAAGTTGGACCTGCTTGGTGTTTCTGTTTTCATGCTTGTGATACATAGTTTTAGGCACTAACAAATTGTACCTACAAACATTACCTTGTATGTTTGTTTGTTAGGAGCCAAGCCCCTAAACCAAAAGGTTTCAAATGCACTGGAGGGATCATGGCTGAAGAAGCGGTAGCTTTTTTTAAGGTGTGTCGGGGACCAATACTAGGATACCATAAGAGGAGGAGTTAATGGTCATCAACATTGATTCATCCGAGCAGTCAAGCGCGCGACTACAGCTCCAACCGACCCTAGGTGCGCGGGCTCCGCCTCGGGCTCCGCCTCGCTCGGCCTCTGGGTCGGGGGCTCCGTCTCGCCAACTGACGGAAGCCCGTACCACCGCCAACCACTACGGGCCAGAAAGTACAACCCAAGGTTAAACTTCTGGCATCGTGTAGGGAGCGGGCACATCTCAACATGACCCGTGTCCGCGACATGCCACTCCAGAGAACTCACATCACCAACAGTGACAAATGCGTGGTCACTATGCTGCCTACTCCCTGTACGGCCGCTGACCAGCACGCTGGTTCGCCGTGTCGCCCGCCGGGACGGAATGGAACGTCACGACCCGCTGGCAACACCGGGGCGTGGCATCAGCGACGAAACAGGCGCTCGGCGTGGAGCCGTCCCTGTCACCATCTGCAGTGCCAGCGGGACCCGCATAAAAGGAGAAGAAAGGCCTGACGGTCTTCGAAGCCTTCCTCTCCTTGGCTCTTCTCTCTCTCTTTCTCTCTGTGTAACCTGCTCTTCCCCTTCGTCTATAAAAGAGGAAGCAGGACGCCCCAGGAGAGAGGACGGTGGTTCACCACTCTACACGCCTATAGACATCAAAACACACGCCCTAACACGCCTTAGGAGCACACGCACATCAGAGACTTGGGACCTGTCGCTCTCTCGCTTGTTTGTAATCCCTACTACAAACTTTCAGTGCTAGTAACATGAGCAGCAGCGACGAATTGGACATAGGGACTTTCTGTCCGAACTAGTATAAACCTCGTATCCTCTAAGCGCACCATTCGAGCCAGACGCGCAATATTAGAAATTTACTAGTTGATAACTCTAAACACCGACAGTTGGCGCGCCAGGTTGAGGCTTTTTGCGCGTCTCGACGTCCACATCTGGCCTCAGATGGTAGTCACGGCGTCAGCTGGGTCTCGGACGCGCATGTGCGCTTCAGGAACATGGACTTCATCGTCACGACGGGGGGAGAGTTGGTGCAGGCTCCCATCGTCATCCAACCTCTCCACTCCGCCAGCCTCGATGCGATCGCCGAGGTGCTTGAGGAGCTGCGGCTGCACGCACCGGAGGCCCGCGCCCCCGGGAGCGACCGGCTCCTCGGCTTCGATTACGGGAGGCTAGAACGCCAGCTTGGCGCCTTCCTGGGACCCCGACCGTCCCGGGAGGACTTAGGCCGCCTCACCTTCTTGTTCACCAATGTCATGACGCAATTTGTCGAAGTAGAGCCGCTTTCCCTGGGATACCTCATCCAGGGCGCCCCGACAGCGCTCCCGTTCGGTCTGCGCAACGCCGCCGAGACCGTTGGCCACCTTGTGGCGCAACGCACGCCCCCATCCCCCACGAACGATGAGTTCGTCGGGATGATCGAATATGTCGCGGAATCTTTTCATGACCTCCTCGCAGGAGAATCGGAGTCGCCTCCAACTCTAACTCCAGCAAGGGGGGCCATCACTCCTCTCGTAAATGTTTCATGGCAGGTACCCCCGAGGGGTACATTGAAAGCATCCATGAGGGATAGGCTACCCCAACAAACGACTTTGACGACGAGGTCGAGGGGGATGCAGGGGCCCCACCTCGCTTGCGGGTAGAGCAGCTGAAGGCCTGACACCAAGAGCTCGAGGAAACATGACTCCAGCTCGAGCTAGAACGCGCGGAGCTCGAATGAGAGATTGAGTGCCACAAAGACGGTGGGCGTGCACGTGTCGTGGCCCACGACGTGAACTGGAGGATCATCGAGGACGATGAAACCCTCCCACACTTCACCTAGGCAAGCCAGAACATCGCTGCTGCGGCGGCCTTGCTCCGGGGGCTTCCGGGGCCCGCGACACCTAAGGATCGTCGGCCCCATCGCGAGATTCGCACACTACTCGAGCATGCGGCGGCGCAACAGGTTGAGAGCTCGTTGTCCCGACGACGTGAGCTCGATGCCAGCCAGCGCGCACCCTCAGAGCAACCCAACAGGGATGTGTCAATCCACCAGGCGCAGTAAGGCGGTAGGTAGTGTTCGCCTAAACGGCCTAAACGGCCGATTAAACGGCCACTAAATGGTAAACGGTGGTAAACTGTTTTGTTTAAGGGGTAAACGGAAATTAAACGGTTGACCATTTAAACGGTCAAAAAATAGAAAAAACGGTTTAAACGGCCTAAATGGAACAGAGATAAACTGTATTAAACCGGGTAAACAGCTGTTTAAACGGCTGTTTAGGCGAACACGAGTTAAATCTAGTTCAGTTTTATATGGATAAATTTGTATACTTAAGTTTATTATATTTATAAATGTGTACACTTGATATGTTACATGCATAAATATCTATGTTTGGTTCTTTTCACATATATAAATATATAAACATACCAAAATAATTGATTTTTACTCGGATACATATGTATAAATGCTACTTGATTTTTTACATGCACATATATAATTATATGTATTTTTTTTAAAAATACAAAACCGTTTAGACCGTTTAACTTCGTTTAAACATCGTGTAAATAGCCTAAACGCTAAACAAAGGGCGACCATGTAAAGACCGTTTACCGTTTAGGAAAACATTGGCGGTAGGCCACGCGCCGTGGTCCCAGTGCATGAACGTCTCGGCCACCACCGTGACACGCGACGACACCCTCGACGCCCGTAGGCGTACCTCGCAGCGATGCGAGGGAGGAGGCTAGCCACAGCTACCACCCTCGTCGTGGCGGACGCTACGACAGCGGCGAATACCGAAACCCGAGCCTTGAGTTGTTGGGACCTCAGGCCTTTGGTCGATACATCCTCAACGCCGCCTTCCCACCGTGGTACCGACCACCGACCAACATTCTAAAATGCTCTGGGGCAACGAACCCCGGACTGTGGCTCGAGGATTATCGACTTGCTTGCCAAGCTGGTGGAGCGGATAATGACGATTTCATTATCCGCAACCTTCCATTGTTCCTGCCGGATTCTGCACGAACGTGGTTGGAAGACCTTCTCCCCATCCGAATCCAAAGTTGGGCGGACCTAAAAGAGATCTTCATGGGA